TTCGACTCACACACTCGCAAAAGCTGGCATGGCGATAAGTGTCCGACATGGGTTTAGGGTTTAGGGTTTAGGGTTTAGGGTTTAGGGTAGGAACTGGAAAGTTGCCATGATACCATCTGCTCTGCTTTGATCAGGAGCCCAGCTATACCTACCCCTACGGCCCTACAGTGATCCCGACAACACCCGTGTATGCCACGAGATGACGACCCACCTTTGGTCAGCACATGTGATGAGCACCAACTTGGCGAGAGCATCATTTCGACTATCGAACGCTTTAAACTTTAAACCCCCTTTGAAAGCCGGCGGCTTCGAGACGATACTGACGAATCCGAAATTTCTGGCCGTGACTTCAACGCCTTGGAGCGGCTTTAGAACCAAAACGTGTGCGGGAGCACAGTTTAAAACTAAAAGTGTGCACGGCACTGTGACGAGAGCCTGATCTACGAAGTGCAAGACGCACGCCGCAGGCTGGCCGAAACCCTGCCAGAAGGCTCCTGGAAAGGTCCCGCACGTGACCACGGCGTCTTTTTTCCAGATAATTCCAGATACACGGTTTCTACACCCCTTTTCCTAAGATTCAACTTTCATTTTGCAGAAGCACTGCGGATTCATCCTCCCAAGACTACGCGCTTCCTCCATGTTGAAAACTTGCAAGAGGCAATGTATTTTGGGGGCTCCTTGCCGCCACACAAGTTGCCGGATTCTTGACGGCTGCGGAGTTGGAGTTCAATCGTCGGGTCGATATAGACGGCGATGAACGAGCCATTGATGGGGTCCTTCCGCACGAGGACTTCTCTTCTGAATCACAGGAGGGGGGAAAACGAACAAGAAATCAAAGAAGCACACAACCTCCTGCACCACAAAGCCGGACTGGACCCGAAACCCACCTAGAAGCGAATCCAGCTCTCACTCTCTGCCGTTCCTCTGGGCTGATCCAAGGAACGACACTCGCCTTTGAGATGCGGTTACAGGCTGAGTCGCCCAAGAAGTACACATCTTTCTGTGCCAGCTGCCAGCTGAGCTGCACCGCCGCATCTCCGTGCAGCTCATAGAGGCCTTGCAGTAAGTTCGGGTGAGAGGAGGCTTGGGGGCTTTGAGGATTAGGGTTTAGGGTTTAGGGTTTAGGGTTTAGCAGGACTGCACTTGTAGTGTTGGCGTTTCCGAAAAGATGTTTGCGCGTGGGCCACGCGGGCCGCTTGCTTGTTTTGCGCGGGCCACGCGGGCCTCTGTCTCTGTCTGCCTGCCTGTTTGCCTGCCTGTCTGTCTGCCTGTCTGCTTGGTTGTCCGTCGGTCTGTCTGTTTGTCTGTCTGTCTGTCTGTCTGTCTGTCTGTCTCTGTCTGTCTGTCTCTCTGTCTCTCTCTGTCTGTC